AAACAAGGAATATTACCAGAGATAAAGAAGACCATTTCAAGTGGCCAACAGAAACATGAAAAAATGCTCAGCATCACTCAGGATCAGGGGAGTACAAATCAAAACCACAGTGAGATACCATGTCACGCTGGTCAGAATAGCTAAAATTAACAAGTCAGGAAACAACAGATGTTGGTGAGGATGTAGAGAAAGGGGAACCCTCTTACACTGTTGATGGAAATGCAACCTGCTGCAGCCACTCTGGAAAAAAGTTAAAAATATAGCTACCCTACAACCCAGCAATTGCACTACGGGGTATTTATCCAAAGGAAACAAACATAGTGATTTGAAGGGGGCACATGCCCACCAGTGTTCATAGCAGCAATGTCCACAATAGCCAAACTATGGAAAGAGCTCAGATATCTATCGACAGATGAATGGATAAAGAAGATGTGGTATATATATACAATGGAATATTACTCAGCCATCAGAAAGAATGAAATCTTGCCATTTGCAATGACATGGATGGAACTAGAGGGTATTATACTAAGTGAAATAAGTCAGTCAGAGAAAGACAAATACCATATGATTTCACTTTTATGTGGAATTTAAGAAATAAAAACATGAACATAGGAGAAGGGAAGGAAAAATAAAGTAAGAGGAAAATAGGGGAGGCAAACCATAAGAGATGCTGAACTCTAGGAAACAAACTGAGGGTTGCTGGAGGGGAGGTGGGTGGGGGGAAGGGATAATTGGGTGATGGGCATTAAGGAGGGCACGTGATGTAATGAGCACTGGGTGTTATATACAACTGATGGATCACTAAATTCTACCTCTGAAATTAATTTTTAAAAAATTTCATAATGATAAAGAAGTCATTTCATCAGGAAGATCCAAGGAAACCTACATGTGTATGCATGTAATTGTAATATTTCAAAATTCCTGATGCAAAAACTGATAGGATGAAATGATAAATAGAAAAATAAACAATTATAATTGGAAGTTCTATCACTCCATTTTCAGTAATTCGTAGGTATGCAGACAGAAACTCAAGTTATAAAACCTGAGCAACACTACCAACCCAACTTAACCTACTTGACATTTGTAGAGTGCTCAGTCCAAGCACAGTAGAGTACACATTCTCATTAAATGCATATGAAACAAGCAGTAAGATAGGTTGGGTTCTGGACTGCAAAACTAGAGAGAGAAAGAGAGAGAGAGAGAGAGTGTGTGTGTGTGTGTGTGTGTGTGTGTGTGTGTTTAGAGCACAAGCAAGCCAGTGGTGGGGAAGGGCAAAAGGAAAGGAAGAGAATTTTAAGCAGGCTCCACAATCAGCACAGATCCTGATGCAGGGCTCGATCTCAGGACCCTGAGATCTCTGATACAGCAGAATTAAATTAGTAATCAGTAACAGAAATAGCTGGAAAATCCCCAGGTATTTGGAGGCTAAACACATTTCTAAATGACCTATGAGCCAAAGCAATCAAAAGGGAAACTTAAAAATATTTTTAACTGAATAAAAATGGAAACACAGCAACATTTGAGGGATGTAGATAAAGCAGTGCTTAGAGGGAAATGACTACCGTTATATGTTTATAGTAGAAAAAAATAAAAATCTAAAATTAACAATCTAAGCTTCTATCTTAAGATGCTAGGAAAAAAGAACAAATTAAACCCAAAGCAAGTAGATGACACTTTGCTATAGAAGATGTGGGGACGGCAGATAAGCACAAGAAAACATGATCCTCATCATCGTTGCTCACTAGGGAAATGAACACCATAATGAGACACCACAACATAGCTATCAGAATGGCTACAAATGAAAAGAACTGAAAATACACAAAGTGTTGGTAGGATGTGGAGAAAGCTGGAATTCTCATGCTTTGGTGGTAGGAATGTAAAATGGTAAAACCACTTTTGAAGTGGCTCAGCATTTCCTCAAAACATTAACTATACCCTTACCATAGGACACGGTCATTCCCGTCTTAGGTATTTACCCAAGAGAATTGAAAACCTGTATCTACACAGACTTCTACACCACTGTTTATGGCAACTTTATTCATAATGGCCCCAAACTGGAAACAGTACAAATGTCCATCAGCCGATAAATGGATAAATTGGTTGTGGCATATCTGTACCACTAAATATTACTCAACAATAAACATGAACACAATATGGGGTGCCTGGCTGGCTCTATCGGGGGAACATGTGGCTCTTGATCTCGGGGTCATGAGTTCCAGCCCCACAATGGGCATGGAGCTTACTTTAGAAAAATGAACAGGGGTGCCTGGGTGGCTCAGTCGGTTAAGTGTCTGCCTTTGGCTCAGGTCATGACCAGGGTCCTGGGATCGAGTCCCGCATCAGGCTCCCTGCTCAGCGAGGAGCCTGCTTCTCCCTCTCCCTCTGCCTGCCGCTCCCCCTGCTTGTACTCTGTCAAATAAATAAATAAAATCTTTAAAAAATAATAAAAAAGAATGAACAAAATGTTTTTATGTGCAACAATATGGATGCATCTCAGAAACATTATGCTGGGCCAAAGAATTCTAAATACTGTATGATTTGATTTATATGAAATTCTAGAAAAGTCGAATCTAGTCTTTAGTGACAGTAGACCTGTGGTTTCACGGGGCCAGAGGTGAGAGAGATCCACCGAGGAGGGACACTGTGAAGGACTTGTGGGCTGATGAAAACATTCTGTGTCTTGATTTTGGTGATGGTTTCACAGGGGTACATTTGTCAAAACTCAGAATCACACATTTAGAATGGGTACATTTTTACTGTATGTAAATCATATCTAGATAGTTCATTTAAAAATCCAAATTTTAAAAACCACTTTTATATGACACATATTTACATGATGACTCTGTGTGTCTACGTGAGCATATACATGCAGCAGAGGATCTGAAAGGTCAAACATCAGAAAGTTAAGTTGAAACCAGAGGTCGCAGTTGTCACCTAGCAGTCGAACAAGCAACCTTAAAATGATGGGGTCCTGGCTACTCCTGCTTTGAACATTCAAAGCCCTGAAGAAATCCTTACTCATTTGTAGACAGATGAGGGTAAAAGCAGAGAGTGCTTATAAGGTGCTGGCGCTGAGGACACACAGGGTATAAACAGGAACTGGTTTGGGACCAAAGTCCTGTGTTGCCTCTTCTTATCATCCTCAAGTTGCATTTCTGTCTTTCCCTATTTTAAGGGCCAGCTGACTTACCACCTTGAGAGAAGCAGTGTTAGTTATAGGGGCTTCTGTTTGTTAGAATGTTTTGTGTGTCATTGACTGGAGGTTATCTGTGTCTGCTCTCCTGTGGTGATGAACCTGCCAGTTACGATCTCAAAGATCTAGCTCTAGTTAAGTAAACCATTTGGAAAGCCTGTTACAGACTCACTTAAAGTTAAAACTGGAAGATCATTACAACTCAAACAGGTTTTTTACCAGCAGGAAATAAACTGACTAATGAATTAACTTTGAAACACAATGCAGAATCTTGATTATCTTTGTGAGTCAGAAGAAAAATACAAATAAAAGAAATTTTGTTGGGGGAGATTCAGAATTATATTAAACAGTTATATCATTGCACACATAGTAGATCAAGATGGTTTTGATGCTTGTTAGATGCATTCAGACTTGTGAAGTTTTTAGCTTCTTGGCCCTACTACTTTCCAACAGGAGGCCCCGTTTCTTACCACCCCCCCCAGGTAGCCCCTCCCCAGTTGTTTTCAGACCATTCTTATACCTACTTAAACCCTCTTCCTCTCCCTTAGCCCACATTTTCTCTTTTTCCCTTTCCTTTCTTCCCCTCATCATCTCTCTCTCTTCCATTCTCCTGTTTGGCCCTCCTCCCTCCCCTCTCCCCTCTCCCTTACCACAGTCCACAATTTAAAGTTGACCCTCAACAACGTGGGGGTTATGGACACCAACCCCACATGCAGTTGAAAATCTGCATATAACTATTAATTCCCCCAAAACTTAACTACTAACAGCCGACTGTTGACCAGAAACCTTACCAATAACCTAAACAGTCCATTAACATCTATTTTGTATGTTATACGTATTATATACTGTTTTCTTACAATAAAGCTAGAGAAAAAATGTTCTTAATGAGGAAGAAAAAATAGATTTACAGTACTGTACCGCATTTAGTGAAAAATATCCATGTATAAGTGGACCCGCGCAGTTCAAGCCCGTGTTGTTCAAGGTCAGCTGGATATCTGATTGCCTCGAGGCTAACACACCCTCAGCAGCAGATTCCTTTAACCCCCAGACTGCCTGATATTTAGTTTGAATCCCCAGGACTTGCATGTGTCACATATTTATACTGGATTGTAAATGGCTCTGTGTTTGCAAACATCCTATTGACCTAAGAGAGCATAAGGCACCTCTAAGAACGCTGAGCAAGGATCCCTCTCCCGTGTATAATTTTTCCTAGTTCCAGGTGACGTAATGACTTAAGTGTTTATCTTAAGAGGGCATTTTTGTCACATTGAAAGGAAATTCTCTATATTTGGTACCTTTGGGTCTTGAACTTTTTTTTTTTTTTAAATATTTTATTTATTTGACAGAGAGAGACACAACGAGAGAGGGAACACAAGCAGGGGGAGTGGGAGAGGGAGAAGCAGGCTTCCCGCCGAGCAGGGAGCC